TCCTGTGTGTATGTGTCGCCACTTTCGTGGACCCTTGTGAAGTTCAGCGGAGTGGCGTTTTACTTGTACGCAGATCAGAAGGAGACCTGACTCCCTGGGTGCTTCAAGCTTGGCAACCTTCGCCACTTTCGCAGGCCCCCGGGACGTCCATCGGAGTGATGTCATGCGCAGATCAGAATGAGACCTCGCCTTCTAAGGTCGCTGTCAACTCCGTGCATTTTTGTCAATTTTGTGGGCCCCTGGGAGGTCCAGCGGAGTTGGGTCCTACGCAGATCAGAATGCGATTTCGTCCTCCCTGAGTGTTGCTAATTGCGCAAGCATCGCCAATGTCGTGGGCCCCTGGGAGGTCCAGCGGAGTGTTTTCTACGCAGAAAATGAGGCCTCGTCTTCACTGCCTTCCCTGGGTGCTTTCTGCTGCGCGACAGTCGCTACGTTCGTGGGCCCCCGGAAGGTCTAGCGGCGTGGTGCCACGGTGTCTCACGCAGATCAGAATGAGTCAGGAGGGGAAAAAACACAGACATAATTAATCGTCGATCCCCAGGAACATATGGGGAAATATGGGAAGTGGGGGGAGACAAAAACCGAGTAGATATGGGAAACTATGGGGAATCCTGTTATTTGTGTGTATCTATTTGTGTGTCCCAGGGCCCCTTGAATGAGACCTGGCCCCTCCTGGGCGCTTCCAGCCTTGCAGCCGTCACCACCTTGGTAGGCCCCTGGGAGGTCCACCAGAGTGGCATTCTGCGCAGATCGGACTGAGGCCTGGCCCTCCCTGGGGCGCTGCCAACTGCGCAACCGTCGCTACTCTCGTGGGCTTCTGGGAAGTCAAGCGGAACCGTGTCTTGATCAGCTCAGGATCGGACTCCCCCCTTCTGGGGGCTGCCGCCCCCGGGAGGTCCAGTGGAGTGATATCTGGTCCAAGGGCGTCCTCGCCCTCCCTCGGTGCTGCCCGTCGTCGCCATCGTGGGCCACTCCCTCCGCTCGTCGACTCCTGAGCTTCCGCGTGTCTGCCTATGCCCACCCTCACTGTCTCCCTTCCCCTATTACTCCTCACCTTCCTGCATCCTTCTGCTCTCTTCCGCGTCCACGCTCCTCTTTCTCCTCCCTTCCCCGTCGGCTCCTGCACCCTCCTGCCTCACTCCGGCTCTTGACCGTCGATGTTTTTTGTCCTCTAGGATGCATGCCATATCCTTCCGTGAGATGCGCCAGCCCCCATGCAGCTTTCAGAGTAACGTGCGGCCATTATGATGTCTGCATCCGTATTCAGTTGACCCATGTCCATGGCCACTTGGTGCAGGTGGGTGTGGCACGCCGCCAGCATCAGTTACAGTCAACCCGCATAGCAAGGATGGGGCAACCTTTCCAAGGGTCCCCTTGCATCCTCGCCTCCTCGGTCCATCGTTGGCCACTCTCGTGGCCCGCGCCTCGCTCGAACAGCATCGAAGTGGGCGTCCAAGGCCCTTGCAGCCCTATCGCGCATACTTACTAAACGGGTTGGCTGTACGTGTCATGTGCGCATTCGCGTGATCATTACACTGATTTCAGGTCGGGCCTGTCCCCCTACGGGGATTTTGGACGACAAATTAAGAATACATACGACATGCTCAAAAGATGCCCAACAATATTTCAAAAAATGGTCCCCGGACTATTTGGACCATTTTTGAATCTTCCCCCTGTAGAGGGACAGGCCCGACTTAAACCCAAGACCTCTCCAGGGCGGCCCCCCCGGGCCGCTCCGAGGCCCAGCAGAGGCCGAGAAGCGCCAAGGACACCCCCAGGGTTATGTCGCCCCCACCATACACCCTGGGCGATGCTTAAGGAAACTTACGTGTCCGGCCAGAGTCTTGGTTATTCTGAATGTTTCAATGCAATTCCTAAGATTTGAACAGGAATTCTGGGTTTTAATTCAAATCCTGAGACTATGAATTTCTTAACCCAGGATTTCTTAAGCATTTCGCAGGGTGTACTTCAGGACCACATCCCAGAAATAATCTCGAGCACCCAGGAAAGTGTCGAAACAGTGTCGGACGAGTGTCTTCCAGGGCCCGACACGTGAAAACCCTGATTGTCGAGTCCGCGGACAGCGGGAGCCGCGGCGGGCTCCCGCGCGACGGGGCGCGCACGCGGCACCGCGCGCCAGCGGTTTGACCGCGGGTGGCATCGGCACCCTCCCGGAGTTGGCCTCGCCGTCTCCCTGGGGTTATGATGTTCCAACGTACTTGAGCCTTGATCGCCAAAAAGAATTTCGAGCATCCAGATAGCACCGAAACTCCAGGGTTTTCACGTGTCGGGCCCTGGGAGACACTCGCCCGACACTGTTTCGACACTTTTCTGGGTGCTCGAGATTATTTCTGGGATGTGGTCCTTATGTATGGTGGGGGCGACATAACCCTGGGGGTGTCCTTGGCGCTTCTCGGCCTCTGCTGGGCCTCGGAGCGGCCCAGGGGGGCCGCCCTGGAGAGGTCTTGGGTTAAGGCGGGCCTGTCCCTCCACAGGGGGAAGATTCAAAAATGGTCCAAAAATAGTCCGGGGACCATTTTTTGAAATATTGTTGGGCATCTTTTGAGCATGTCGTGTGTATTCTTAACTTTTCGTCCAGAATCCCCCTGTAGGGGGACAGGCCCGACCTGAGGAGGAGGGAGGAGGGAGGAGGGAGGAGGAGGGAGGAGGAGGGAGGAGGGAGGAGGAGGAGGAGGGAGGAGGGAGGGGGGAGGAGGGAGGAGGAGGAGGAGGAGGAGGAGGGAGGAGGAGGAGGAGGAGGGAGGAGGGAGGAGGGAGGAGGGAGGAGGGAGGAGGAGCCCCTGTAGGGGGACAGGCCCGACCTGAGTCTTGGGGGTCGTCCTGGAGCCGCCTCGGCGCCGTCCCGGAGGCCTGCCGTGGGCTGCCGGGCCAGTCCTGGGGCCAGCTTCTCAGTCTCTCGGGCCGTCGGGGCCCTGGGAGTGCGGGCATTTTTTTGTTATATATATATATATATACAATATATATAACATATGTATATGTATATATATATATATATGTTTATGTGTTTTGTTTTTTGTTCTTGTTTGTTTTGTGTGTGTTTTTTTACGCGGGAGCGTGGCTTCGGGGGCTATCTTGGGAGGGGTCGTGGACTCCGGAGCTTCTGTCCAGAGGGCGTGGCCTCGGGGGCGCGGGCCCGCCGTCTGCCATCGAGGGGCCGCGGCCACTCGGGGCGCGGAGGGGCACTCTTTTTGGTCTGCGAGGGGGCGTGGCCTCGGGGGCGCGGGCCCGCGGTGCAGTTCTGGGGGCCCGAAGAGTATGCACCACCACCACGTCGATTCCTCCTCTCTCCTCTTTCCAGCGAGAGGGGGGGGGGAGGGAGGTGGTGGTGGTGTACATTTTTGGCCCCCCCCATTTTATCATCGGGGATCGTGGCATCTGGAGTGCGAAGCCGAGCGCCGCGTGCTGGATCGTGCCCCCGGGCGCGTGGACGCACCGGTCTGCTCGGAGCGATCGGGGCCCCTGGAGCGCGGACCTGCAGTTTTTGCGTGAGGTTGTGGCACCGTTTCTCGGCAGCGCGGGCCCAGTGTCATGTCAAGGTGTATCGTGGCCTATGTTCTGCCACGAGAGACCGTGGCCTCGGGAGCGCGGGCCAACGGTTCCTGCAGCCTCGGGTGCATGTTTTTCGTCATCTTGGGGGCACGCACGTTCAGGTCGCGTGACTTGGATACGCGAGAGTCGCTGATGGCTTGTTTTCGGGCCGAGGGGTGTCGCGCGCGTCCTGGCAAGGTGTCCAGCGAGCGGCGTGCCACTGACATCTACATTCGACCTCGCCCTGCTGTCCCTCAGGTGATTTCGAACGTGGAGCTGCCGCCACTTGCCGAATCTCCCGGCAGGCCAGCGGTGCGGCGTGCTGCGGTCATCCCAGTACCCCTGGGATGCTGCCACACTTTCGCCGCTCAGCTCCGATGACTTGTCCCCAACGCGCGTGGATCGTTGCGACGAAACGCATCCTCCTGCGTGTTCCCAGATGCAGGCGGCGCCTGCGCGATAGACTGAGATATTCGAAGATTCGTTCCCTGTGCTGTCACGTGCCGCCAGGTGCAGCTGCAGGCGCTCAGCTGCCTGCCGCTCCAGGACAGCTCCACGGAGGCGGTGATGAGGCGCAGATGCACGGGCGGGCGGCGGGAGGCGGGGTGGAGAACTCGATGGAGGAGAGTCGAGGGGAGTAACCTCTCAGACAGTACTCTTCCCTTGAGGGTGGAAGGTCCCCAGGTGGCTGGGAATTGCGTATGCAAGCAGACACCTCAGCGGACCTGACGGCCAGCAGCGAGTTTTGGAATGTTCCTCGGCCCTCTGCGTGCCACCCTGGGGCCCTCCTGGGCCGCCAGAGCTGAAGGAAGGAGAGGAGGGGAAGAGCGGAGCAGGGAGCAGGGAGGACGGAGGGGGCTTGCCACGGTTGCGGGCAGCCTCTTGACGATTGTCTCCGTTCCGCACCTGAGGACATGCATTACGCCTGGGGCGCAAACAGCCCATCCCCACAGCAAGATCATCCACCCATCATCTTTTCTCAAGTGCCATAATCAATGCAAGAGACAATTGCTGAGACGACCTTCGCTTCATAGCAACCGAGTTCGCGCAAGACCTGCTGGGGCTCTATCGAGTAAGAGGAGAGCGTGCGCGAAAAACTCGGACTAGGCAAACCACAGTGTCCTCGGCGCGAGCGGCAGTATGGTTTCACCACCCTCACAAGGAAAGCATAGGGATTACATGGCTCAGTTTGGCAGCCTTCTGCCATCAAGGGAAGCTGATTCGGCCGTGAAGACAGGCACAGCAACGGAGAACGGCCAAAGAGAAGCAGCCTGGCGTGGAGACAAGTACAGCGCCTGCCAGGGCTGAGGGTCTATGGTTGGAAGGAAATTGCCGAAGAGAAGAGATGGAATCAGCCCCGCGCTGCCCAGTGCCTCTAGTCGACTGGGCGCAGCTGTTTCAGCGAGGTTGGGTGTGGGAGACCCTGCCCAGCCAGCTTCGCCCCAGCAGAGGGGAGACGCGTCTCACCGGGGTAGCCCGGCCAGTGAGCAACCGCGTGCCAGGGCAGAGGTCGCCGCTGCGGCTCGACGGCGTGGGTGAGCAGCACCCCACCGCGCAGCTTGACCGGGAGGCGTACCCGCACGTGGAGGGAGGCGCCTGCGCACCCCAGTGCATCCTGGTGACCCTGGAGGAGACCGGGAAGCACCTGGGCGCTGGTTGGCGGAGTGTGGGCCCGTGGTCAGTGCCGATCTGCACGCCGGCCTGGTCCTCGAGTCTCCACGGCCAGGCCGACCACCACCTGGAGATGGCTGAGGGTGCAGGCGCGCCAGGATGGCGCCGCAGGTCCCTTTAGCCGTAGGCTGGAGCCAGGGGCGCCCAGAGGTGGCGCCGGCCTCGCCAGGGAAGACGCGGCGGCGATTGACCGCTGGGGGCTCCTGGTCGAGGCTGCTGCGTTGGCGGTGGTGGTGCCTTTCGACGATATGCAGGAGGAGCGTGACGGCAACCCGGACGGCTCCGAACGCCTGGGGAGTTCAAGGTGATCTATCGTAGCGGCACTTGTTTGGAGTTCAGTCCTGAAAATCGGAAACAGGAAGGGAGGCCTGCAGCGCGTACTGGAATCCGCAGGAAGGGAGGCCTGCAGCGTTAATTGGAATCCGAGTTCGTATTTCGCTGTGCCAGAAAATGCGGCGAGGCTCAGGGCCGTAGGGACACCAGCAGCATGAGTCCAGCCGCGCGCGGACGAATTTGGATTGACTGCAGGGGGGTCAGCCTCCCCAAGGGGCGTGCCGAGGCTTCGAATCTTTCCGATCTCTGCTCCCGCCTCGTTCGCAGGCGTCCAGTCTTCCCTACTAATCCTGAAGCGCCCTCCCCCCCCGAAGAACCGACCCCCCGCCCTGCCACGGGGGGCGCTATAATATTCCTCCCGCCCACCCCTAGTGAAAGTTGTCAGTTATAATTCTGCTGGCGGAAATGGTGGGCTGGCGGATGCGCGGTGATGACGACGTTGGTGATCAGAACATTGTCGACTGCGATGTCAACAACAATTGTTTCCAAACTGATGAACTCCATGATCGTGCAAGCGATGGTGTGGTACGGTCGCCATCTATGATGGCAGCGATTCCGGTTGCTGCCCCAGCGGTGGTTACAATTAGTGTGGAAAACAAGGCGACAATGGGAGACAACGAACAGGGAGAAATGGGGGGAAGTGCGGAGCATGGCGGAGGAATGGGGATTATCGGAGTTGTTGAAGCGGGGTGGGGAAGACTAGGAGGGGTGCGACGAAGTGAAGAGCAGCTGAATGAATTGGAGTGAGCAGGATTGGGACATATTGGGAATGAGTGAGAGGTAGAAGCAATGGGAAGGAGTGGAGGAGGAGGAGGAGGAGGAAGAGGAGGAGCAGGAGGAGGAGGAGGAGGAGGAGGAGGAGGAGGAAAGAGCGGGGAGGAATGGAGCGGAGTGGGAAGGAGCGTGGCAGGGTGGAGGTGACGGGAAGCAATGGGAAGGAGTTCAGCGCTTCTCCCAACTCATCCCCGCTCGTGTCCGTGTCCGTGTCCAGGTCTGCATGCGCATGCCTGACTTTTTCGTGGGTCGATTTGCTGAGTGTCATCAAAGGCAACCTCACATAAACTTGTCAGTCACGTTTTGCATACGCTAAACATATGTCCGAGCATGCGCGGTGGCGGTGACGGGTTGCATTATAGATGTGTCTCCATGGCGACGCAAGAAGCGACTTCAATAATCCGACCCCCCTGCGTAACTTCGGTCACGCGAGACCGCCTTCATAAACTGACCCCCCCGCCTTATCAAACGGCGACTTAGCACATCGACCCCCAGGGCCGATCAAAAAGGAATATGGAGTACTTCCTCCCTTCGATCATGTTTTTGTAAGGGTCTGGCGATAACCTGGGTAATCGGGCCCGCACCCTGGCAGGGCTCGTTTCGATTCCTCCGATTCGAGTCGATTCGATTTCGATGGCTTCCGATTTCGATTCGATTCGACTTGGGATTCCGATTTGGGTTCCGATTCTTTATTGGAGGCTAGCTAGCCTGCCGATTTCTGCCGATTCGACTTTTCTCGACTCGGCCGCCGATTTCCGCCGATCCGATTCATTTCGATCACCGATCCGACTTATCGATTCGATTCTTGGCTCCCCTGCCCTGGCCCCCGCCCCCGAGAACCTAACCTCCTGCAGTCGGAGGAGGCGCAGTATTGATGCGTGTGCGTGCACGTGGGGCTACCTGGCGCGAAACGGCTGGGGTATCGGCTGGCACCTCCCCCTCCCAGCCCTCCTGATAACCGGGCTTATCGCCGAAGAAGAATAATATTATTATTAACAATAATAATACTAAAAATAATAATATTGATAAGAAGAAAAGCCTTTTCGCTGCTACCTTCTCCCTTCCTCCCGTACCTTCCTCCCTCCCCCCCATGCTTCGCCCCGGTCGTCGACGTTCTGCGCGCGGGGCCGCGGCCCGCGGGCTGAGCTCGCATGACGATGCTGGCAGGGTCGGTTCGGCCACGGGGGGGAGGGCCTTCGACTGCGGATCTCGGAGGGGCGGGGGCAGGGGGGGGCAGAGGTTAGGTTTATGTCGGGCCTGTCCCCCCACAGGGGAACTTTCGACGAAAAATACAGCATACCCCCAAAATAGTCAAACAATAATCCAAAGATAGTCTGGTGATTATTTTTTGAGTATTTTTCCCGGAAAGGGCGTAGGCCCAGGGTTCTCTTTTAGTATGTAAACATAGTCCCCAGTGCCCAACTTGAAGGAGGCCGGCGGATTCTTTCCCTGATAAATATCGAGGTCGAAGGAGGCCGGCGGATTAAAATTTGAGGATGTCTCAGGCGAAACGCTTGTTTTTGAAATCCCGATCGATAAATCACAGGGTGCGGGCCACCTCAGCACGACCACACCCCCAGCATGACCACACCCCAGCACGACCACGCCCCAGCACGACCACGCCCCAGCACGACCACACCCCAGCACGACCACACCCCAGCACGACCACACCCCAGCACGACCACACCCCACCCAGCACGACCACACCCCAGCACGACCCGATCGATAAATCACGGGGCGCGGACCACCCCAGCACGACCACACCCCAGCACGACCCCACCCCAGCACGACCCCACCCCAGCACGACCCCACCCAGCACGACCACACCCCAGCACGACCACACCCCAGCACGACCACACCCCAGCACGACCCCACCCCAGCACGACCCCACCCTAGCACGACCACACCCCAGCACGACCACACCCCAGCACGACCACACCCCAGCACGACCCCAGGCCCCAGCACGACCCACGACCACTCCCCAGCACGACCACCCCCCAGCACGCCCCAGCACGACCACTCCCCAGCACGACCACACCCCAGCACGACCCACCCCAGCACGACCACACCACCAGCACGACCACACCCCAGCACGACACCCCAGCACGACCACACGCCCCAGCACGACCACGCCCCAGCACGACCACCCCAGCACGACCACCCCTCAGCACGACCACCCCCCAGCACGACCACGCCCCAGCACGACCACACCCCAGCACGACCACACCCCAGCACGACCACACCCCAGCACGACCACACCCAGTCGCACCCCCGTGGAATGTTTCGTGGGGTGTCTGGTTGAGTGGTTGCCTGTTCGTGGGGTGTCTCGTGGAATGTTTCACGGGGTGTCTCGTGGAATGTTTCGTGAGGTGTCTCGTGGGTTGTTTCGTGAGGTGTCTCCTGGGATGTTTCGCGGGGTGTCTCGTGGGATGTTTCGTGAGGTGTCGCCCAGTTGGATATCGTGAAAACGTGACCATGCTGCACATGTCTATATCCCTTTCCGGGTTCGTGGGTCCATCATGTTTGACTTAAAAAAATAGTCGGAAATCCCCCTGTAGGGGGACACGCCCGACATAAGGTTAGGTTATTTGCCCTGTGCCGTACCGCCGATCCCTTGGGAGCCCTGGGTGCCTCTCTTCCAGGGGGCGTTGTCGTAGAAGCGTCTTAAAGACGTGCGTCCCTCTGGGAAGCCCAGGACCGTGCTCAAAAGGAGCCCTGTTGGGCCGTTTCGGGCCCTCTTGGTGGGAGCCTCTGGAGGCCTCCTGGGGGCCTTTCGAGGGTCTCTTGGGAGCAGGTTGGGGGTCTTTGGGGGACCATCTCGTGGGGGAGGGCCATGGGGCCCCGTCGAATTCCCCTCTTGGGCTCCTCCTGGCGCCCTCATGATGGGCCATCCTTGGGTCCTGTTTTACGCCTTTTGAGGCGTCCTGGAGCGACCTTAGGGTGGCTTGTCCTGGACGCCCTGCAGATTGTGCAAGTACGTCAAACATGTAGTACGCCTCAAGGGAAGTGGCAGGTGAGCAGAGGTGAACTGGGCTGGGAGACGGGGAGGACGGATGGTCGACGCGTCTCTGGACCACAGGTTCTGAGTGATGCGCGACTGAGCGTCTGTTTCGCAATTTTCCCTCATTGCCCAGAGAACCCCATGGCCTACCATATTGCGAAGGCCTTACGGCTGGTGCCGCCGACCCTGAAGGGGAACGACGACAACGGCGGCGGCGACGACGACGACGCTGACGTGGGTCAGAGTCCTCATGTATGCTTCTTGGGGAGCCTTCGAAGCACTCTCGGGGGCCTCTGGGGGACAGTTAGGGGGCCTCTTGGAAGCCTCTTGGGGGCCTCTTGGGAGCCTCTTGGGGGCCTCTCGGGGCTTCCTAGGGGCCTCTTGGGGGCCTCGTGGGGCCTCTTGGGGGCCTCTGGGGAGCCTCTTGGTTCCTCCTGGGAGCCTGTCGGGGCCGAGGGCTCGAAATGTCCGTCCTGGTCCCTCGTCTGGGCACCCTCTCGGGCTTCTCCTAAGTGCGGGTGCCTCCGTTTACTGTCTTTCAGGAAGCGAAGCCTGTGCAAGGGAAACCCAGTCACCAGGACAAATGGCGTCCGCTGTGGGCATCGCTCAGGAGGGCCGCGCGGACCTCCGGGCGGCGGGTGTCGTGCTCCTCCTGGGGGCCCTCGCGGTGCGCGGGGCCCCCGTGCAGCTCGACTGGCTCGCCCATCCTTGCCCCCTTCTTGGCCACGGCCTGCTCGTCCAGCCTGCGAAGGGGTCCAGGTCGGCGGCCCGGCCGTGCGCCAGGGTCTGGGTTGGGGGGCGCCTCGGTGCTCAGCTCGGCGACGAGGTGTGCGGTGCCGACCTCGGGGTCGGCGAGCATCACCGGCCCGTGCCCCCGCCTCAGAGCAGGGCCCAGATGTTGAGCCCGCTGCCTGGCTCGCGGCTCCGCCTGGTGACGGTCTCCAGGCTCGGGCGTCCACCCGCGCGACGTGGAGCGCGGTCGTCCCGAGGTCGAGCGGGGGGAAGGCAGCGAAGCTCCTGAAGTCCTTGCCGTGGTGCGCGTGGTGCAGGGCACGGATGAAGACGCGCTGGTCGCTCTTGGTGGGGTTGGCGTTCGAGGGCGGGCCCCCCAAGAACACCGCGGCCTCCTGCGCGACCTCCCAGCTGGCTGGCCGCCACTGCAGCGCCAGCTGCATGGCGGCGGCCGCTTCTGGGAGCTCA